TTATAAAGATTCTGATGTGTGATATTTATGTGTGGTGTACGACGCAGACAGAAAGATAGGAAAGCAATATGAAGGCTTTTGAATTTAACTATTACTGGCATAGGAATGTATGTATGGTTTGTCTTTACTTTATGGTAGTGTTGTAAATACAAAATTAGATAATAACGAATGAGTACCATACAAATAAACACGCACTGCCATTGAAAGTGACGATGGCACAATCCTGGTCGTGCAGCCATAAAATTTGATTTCTTAACATTACGAAATGGGAAGTTAGTTACCATACCATTATTGTCAATTAGTTTTTTAATTATAGATGATCACACTGTATTTTCAGGGTTTGTCGTGAGAACAAACTCTCATCGCGAGCACATGGATAAAATCGAGAGGCCACCGCATGTGGTCTCGAGATTTTTAATCTACATGCGAGCGATGATAAAAATGTTCGAACGACAAACACTGAAAATACTGTATGATTAATTATTTATTTTCTATATACTACTACCTTATATCTTTCTCAATTTAATAAACCTCAACTAAGCATTATTTTGTCAGAAAGACTTCTAAGCTCAATGGTCAACGATCGCCTGTGACAAACGTAAACAAATAAAAGTGTTTTGTGCGGAGGAATACAATGAACCTCTTAAAACTACGTAGAAAACATATTTTTAAAACAATCCTATCGCCATTGGCAGTTCCATATGCAAAATAACGCCTGAAATGGTGTTGTTATTCTCACAATATTTCCCCGTAACTTTCTATCGATATCTTTATGACGGACTATATTACTATGTGGATCACTTTTGTATGGTCACTATTTCGGTTTTGGACGGCATCTGGCGCGAGCAGACGTTCTATATTTTAGAAAATGCGTTCCTTAGGGCTGGGGAATGGAAAAACCCGATCTCAAGTTCTTTCCAAGTTGTTCTCAAGTCGTTCTCATCTTCTTCTCATACTGACAACCAATGATAATGAATGTATCATGCTACTGGTAGGTGGTATAAAGTAGTATATAGATGATAATATAGTACATGTATATTTAATGGGATAGTGATTAATGTCAGATTGTACATGTTTACATGGAGTGATTATAATGATATATTTGTTTTGTTCTGTTATATTATCATGAATTATTTCTATTCACTGGAAAAGAATGTTTATATCACTGCATAATATTGTAAAGGAACAGGCAAGCATAGTGTCTGTCTTATCTGCTAACTCCAGCATTGATACGGTTTGTAAATCTGCAAACAAGTGCTGCACCGACAATCATTCACCAAGTTATATAAAAGTGTATTTTAATCCTTTGCTGGGAAATGCAGTCTTCGAGTGAAATGCCGATTGACATAATATTTCATCACATTAAGATACTCCCCTTAACATATATGTATCGGACAAGGTCAATTTACTACTATAAAAATTGTAGTGGTATAGGAACGACTCACCTGCAATTCTAAACACGATGTCGATTTTCTGTATTCTTGCCTTAGAAGGTAAAGTCCCTCGCCACCAGACCATGTTTGCCCCATTGGAGGCCATACAAATATTTCGAGCAAAAGGGCCGTAATTTCCGTCTGTTGTGCCAGACAAAGGGTAATTTGGATTCACAGAGGTTCCATTCAATTTCAACAGATTCTTTAGGTTGACTGTAAGTGTGAAATTTAATTATCATTCTTTTAATTCCTTTTTTAAGTACACACATGACTGAAATCAATGAAAAATATAATGGTATATATTAAGTGGTATATTTTTACAACAACTTAGTAAATGTGCCTTGCATCTATTACAATTTCGATGTTTTGCTGTCATTTGAAAATATGAAAATATTGTTACACGGAAATTACATAACAGTTCATCATAGTCTTAACGTGCCATTTAGCTCAATAGTGGCCATATATACAGTAATGATATATGGGACCTTTTAGATTATCGTATTCTTTCAACATGAATCTCTTTATAGCACCGATAAGTTCTTCTTCACAGTAGTTATATAGAAACATAGACATTGGTAAATCATAAAAATGCAATAAAAGTGTATTCAAACTTCCAAACGAGAGCACCAATGATATTCATGATATTTTGATTTTTTTCTTTTCTTAAAGCAGTCTTTTTTTTTAGCTCATCACAGTCACATCCAACACGGATGTCCTTATTTCAGGTATAATGTGATACTTTTTATATAACCCTTAATGATTATAATAGGAGTATCACCACTGTCATGTTGATTTTCCGACTTAATATGTTTAATTCACATACCTATCAGTGTTTCTACAGATTTATTCTACCCCGACAAGATCACATTGATTGATTGCTATCTACATCATATTTCGAAAGTAAACCAAAACAAAATTCCATCTCGTCCTAATTGAGTAATGGCTGACAACAAACACTATAAAAAAATAAACAACTGTAGACTTACTACTCATTCGAATCCCTGGAACTATACTCAACAAAAGTATCCCAAACACTATGAACACAGTTCCGGCACACCTGTCCATTTCTAACGATTATATGTCATTGGCAGTGGTCCGAATGTTCACGTTTTAATTATGGATTAAGACCAGGAAGTAACGTATGTGCGTGATTGGCAACAGGAAGAGTAGTGTATGAGTATAATGAAAGTAGCTAGACATATGCTTCAGTTTTCGTTTGATTTGTTTTTAGCCTCATCGTTGAACATTATCAGAAACACCTAATCGTTTGAAGTAATTTCGGTGTACACAGAAATACCGTCAGTCCTACTGATACAAATAAAGCTAGTATGTCAGGCACAGTGTGGAGTGCAAAACAGATTAGACATTACCATTCATCGACTAAGGATTTCATATCAGCCATGCGATTATTAATGTAAAAAGACGAACATTCAATGGCCTTACCCATGATTAAACTCCAGTATTTCAATAGCTAGTGTTAGGCAGTTATAAATAGTACTAGAAGTGTATCTTGAGTGTATAGCGTCATTACGCAGTTAGTTTGTAACAATTCCAGAACTCGGTGTCGTATCCTTAGCGAACAGACTAGATGTACCATATCGATTTAGCTGTAATACAATACTGTCAATGTCTCAATACTTTATCTGACTCTTACCTTGAATCAACACCATCAACATTTTTATATCAATTTCAATATTTAAGATAAACAGGCGTGTAACATGAAGTTACATAGCTCACACATACAAGTACGTACTCACTCATGACTTATCAGGTTTTACATTGTCCATTGTGTTTAATAGGTCGCCAGGTATGGGCAGTCAGACAAGTAATCGTAATAATAAACGTTTATTATATGGCAGTCCGGACTGTTTAAACTCCTTTCCCTCATTCGCACAATTACCATTGAAAGACCACCCCATCTCTTTAGTAACCGTATACATGTGCCGAGGGTGGACGAGTGACGCAGTAGAATTTGTTTCATAGTTGTTGTAAAATAGATAAAGTTTAAAGTCGTATGTCGACATTTTATATAAGAAAATGTTATCTTATTTAAAACAGTGAAAGTGAACATCACATTTCCAAATTATTTGAATGTTGAATGTTTCATACAGTGGGAAATGTCGCTGTATATGTTTGTCTCAATAAGCATTTACGAAAGGTAATATATTTTCACAAGTCTGCTTTACACGATGTGGTATATATACTAGCGGAAAAAAAGAAACTGTGCATGCCTAAAATGTGTTATAAAAATAAATGTGTATGACGTAGAACAACAAGGTTTTTAGGGACAATTTATTTGTTATTTATTAACAGTTGCATTTCATTTTCCAGGTTATGGAATCAATAAGTTCCGCTCAGGAGTGACGTAAACACAGCAGGGGTCAATACCGAGTTCACAAAGTTAATACCTCGCATGTCCACCGTTTGCCTGAATGCAAGCCTGGCAACGTCGACGCATGGAGCCTATCAGACGGTTCAAGAATGCTTGTGGGATGGCATTCCAGATCTGTACCAACGCTGCAGGCAAATCAGCCAACGTCACCGGTTGATTAGGTAATGCCCGTAATCTGCGCTTCATTTCATCCCAGACGTGTTCAATGGGTGACAGATCGGGGGATACAGCAGGCCAGGGCAAAACGTCAACGTTCTGTTGGGCCAGAAAGTCCATAGCGACACGAGTTGTGTGTAGCCTGGCGTTGTCCTGCTGTAGCGTAATGTGACGTTGCTGCCCTTGCACGAATGGAACGACGTTGGTCCGGAGGACTTCGTCACGGTAAGGTAGCGCGTTCAAATTCCCGTTAACAACCACCAGAGGCGTTTTCCCGTTAGCTGTGATGCCGCCCCAAATCATAACGCTGCCTCCGACGAAAGTACGTCGTTGTGCGACACGCTTCATGGAAACGTTCTCCAACACGACGATACACTCTGGAACGGCCGTCACTACTATCCAGGTGGACTCGCAACTCGTCCGTAAACAAAATGCCTGCCCAATCCCGTCGAGTAAATCTCAGATGCCTTCTGCACCAGTCCAGACGTGCAACACGATGACGTGGCAGAAGAACTGGGCGGATTGCAGGACATCGCGTACGGATAGCTCGTTCACGCAATCGGTTCCGTACAGTTCCCGGGCTTATATTGGTTGCAACCCAGGGATTGTCCGTGCAGTCAAACTTACCGTTTGGAAGCGATTTATCAAATGGACAAGACGAATATAATTGCCCTGTTGACCTGACGTCACACGTGGACGTCCCGCACGAGGTCGATCGCCGACGTGGCCAGACTGTTGATGTCGTCTCCACAAATCCCGGATTGTGTTTCGATGGACATGAAAACGTGTAGAGACGACGGCTTGGCCCATACCAGCTTGAAGCATACCAATAGTCCGGAGGCGGTCATTTTCATTGAGCCTCGGCATAGCATTAATCACAAATTTAAAAGTTATAATGCTGTTTTTACTGTTCACTGGTCTCAACAGAGTGACCCAACAGTTGAAAAATAAACTTTCATTGTCGAATTGGATGGCTGGACGAGAAAAACGTGCAAACTGGTCGACGCCTATAGAGAGCAAACTGCACGGGAAAAACTGTCAATGACACATGGACAGTGTGTATGTGTCATACTCGGTTATGTGTGTGAATTTTCATGTATATACAGTTGGTAATACATGTTCTATAAAAATTCTCCGCATGCACAGTTTCTTTTTTCCGCTAGTATACATGTACTGATGTCTACTGTACACAATCCGATATTTACTGTACACGTTTCGATGTTTAATGTACACATGAATAATGGCTGACAATAAACGCAATAAATAAGTAAACAACTGTAAACTTACTACTCATTCGAATCCCTGGAAATATACTCAACAAAACTATCCAAAACAATGTGGACACAGCTTCTACACCCCTGACCATCTTAAGTGATTGCATATTATTCGGTAGTGCTCCGAAAGCATGATATAAAGCATATAGATACGTCAGAACGACCAAAGTATTTGGTCGTACACTAACACAACTGATATAGACGACAACCAGGAAGTAAGGTATAGGTGTACACGTAAATTCCGTCGGCAGTAACGTTAAAAATATAACATACCTTGTCATGTGTATTAAACTAGTAAGTTAGGCACAGTGTGGAGTACAAACAAAACCAAATCATTGCATGACCTTACCCATGATTAAACTCCGGTCTTTCAATAGCTAGTGTTAGGCAGTAATAAATAGTACTAGAAGTGTGTCTTGAGTGTATAGCGTCATCATGCAGATAGTTTGTAACAATACCAGAACTCGGTGTCGTATCCTCAGCGAACAGACTACAGACGTTTAGATGTACTATTTCGATTAAGCTGTAATACAATACTCAATGTCTCAATACGTTATCTGACTTTTACCTTGAATCGACACCATCAACATTTTTTTATCCATTTCTATATTTAAGATAAACAGGCGTGTAACATGAGGTTACCTAGCTCACACATACAGGTACGTACGCGCCCATGACTGATCAGGTCTACATTGTCCATTGTTTAATAGATCGCCCGGTTTGGGCAGTCAGACAAGTACTCGTAATAATAAGCGTTTATTATATGACAGTCCGGACTGTTTAAACTCCTTTCCGTCATTCGCACAATTACCATTGAAAGACCACCCCATCTCCTTAGTAACTGTAGACATGTGCCGAGGGTGGTCGAGTGGCGCAGTAGAATTGGTTTCACAATTGTTGTAAAATAGATAAAGTTTTAAGTCTTATGTCGACATTTTATATAGGAAAATATTATCTTATTTTAAAACAGTGTAAGTTAACATCAAACTTCCAAATTATTTAGAGGGAGAAATAGGCCTTTTATCCCCTCAAAAATTGTTTAATGTTTCATACAGTGGGAAGTGTCGCTGTATTTGTTTGTCTCACCAAGCATTTACAAAAGGTTGTTGTCACTTCCATACAAAACCATGTGAAATGTACATTCACTTAAGTATTCTTTACACGATGTGGTATCTACATGTACTGATGTCTACAGTACACATTCTGATATCTACTGTACACGTTTTGATGTTTAATGTACACATAATGATATCTACTGTACATGTTCTGATTTCTATTGTACACATTTCGATATCTACTGTAAACATTTTAATTTCTACTATACACGTTCTGATGTTAACTGTAAACATTGTTATGTAAACAGTACACGTTCTGGTGTCTACTGTACACTTTCCGGTGTCTTCTGTTCACATTATGATTTCTACTGTACACATTCCGATATATACTGTACATGTTCTGATGTCTATTGTACGTGTTCTGGTGTCTACTGTTTCACATGTTCTAATGTCTACTGTACATGTTCTAGTACATGTTCTGGTGTCTGCTGTTTCCCATGTTCTGATTTCTACTGTAAACGTTCTGGTGTCTATTGTACACGTTCTGATATTAACTACTCACGTTCTGGTGTCTACTGTACATGTTCTGATGTCTATTGTACATGTTTTGGTGTCTACTGTTTCACATGTTCTAATGTCTACTGTACACGTTCTAGTACATGTTCTGGTGTCTGCTGTTTCCCATGTTCTGATTTCTACTGTAAACGTTCTGGTGTCTATTGTACACGTTCTGATATTAACTACTCACGTTCTGGTGTCTACTGTACATGTTCTGATATTTACTATTCACGGCCTGGTGTCTACTGTTTTACACGTTCTGGTGTCTACTGTTTTACACGTTCTGGTGTCTACTGTTCACGTTCTGATATCTACTCTACACTTTCTTAGGTCTATTCTTTACATTCTGACCCCTCCCTATATTTCGTCTAATGTGTATTTTCTGGAACCTATTGTGAGCCGTCTTAGGTGTTATCGATACGTTATCAGGTCTGATGATGTGTTACCCAAATGATGTTTTCCGGATTTTTGAAAAAAAAAAAATGTCTTACATATCCATCGTTAAATTCTTTTAAATCTGCGATTCTATTTGGTATGTGATATAACATTATTATGTAATATTTGGGTTGTGCCGCGATCATAAATATATCAGCTGCTTCATCAAACGAAAAACACTTTTGCAATATGTATTTTATTTTCACTTAATATACAAATATATATGAATTATGACTTTTTATAAAACACAAATCGTTTGATTTCTTTGTAAGTTGTTGCTATATGTTTGACATATCCTCTCGTTTTTAAATCATTTCTGACCATTGACATATTTGTCCTTCATTTATTAAAGCTTATATATATCTGGTAAATGTGTTAATGATTTATTGCTTAAGATATCATTTTCGATTTATAATCACAAAATGTTTGTTTCAAAATATGTATAAATCACCATCAAGTGTCTCTTTCGAACCAGCAATACATATTACAATTTTTTTCATTTCAATTTGTTTTATTAAATCAATCCGATTTAAAAGGAATTGGGCAACAGGCAAAGCCTATTCAAGTTCTCTCCCTGACATGGTAAATGTCATCTCGTGGATGCGATAACTAGTACATTTGTATACAGTTCCAAAATGTTTATTCATACAACGCCATTTATCCTTTCATTTGTAGATCAGTATAGTTATTTCCATCTAAGATTAACCTGTACAAAGGGAGACAATCTAGTTGAGAAGACCAATATTGATTTTCCGAAAGTAATTTCTGAATACAGGTTAAACAGTATAGCAAGGGAGACAACTTTCCGAAAGAGATATATGAATACAGGATAAAATGTATGCAAGACATGAAGAGTTTTCGAAGAAATATATTTTAAGCATGTTTTAGACAAAACAATCACAATGGATGACAAAGTAAAACGAATCAGTTGGTAAGATAATCGCCATAGGAACATGACATAGCAAAAGGTTCATCAGTTCAATATATTATCCCGCTCTTAAGCGAAAAAAAACATTCAACAGTTAGTAATGAGCAAGTAATACTGTAACAGAAAACAATCGTTCCTCGCTGCATTTAGGATCCCGCATCCACAGTTATCCCTACGGTATCGTACATGTTAGGGGCGGTCCTAGTCAGGGAATCAAGTTTTTCATAATTTTCGTCAGCTGTGGCACTCTTGGAAATTTGCCTCCCGTTTTCAGTGTCTACAACTTCATAAGGACCATCTGAAATATATATGGAGAAATTAGAAAAGGGGCAATAGATAGTGTCAAGGAAATAATTAGAAACGTTAAGTAGTAATGCCCCGCTTCTAATGTATCCATAAGCCAAATATGGTTATCGATACTCCTACTTCACGTAATGCAAAGCAAATGCATCTATTGAAGTACATACAATTGTACATGAAAATTCTATTATATTTCTTTCGATGGTTTTATTTCAATTAATCATAAACGTTTAGTCTGTATAATGACCGATACTTAGCTTCCCAATAAGATCTCAACGTTGATACATAAAAAGTCAAAAACACGAACAAGGCTTCAACAGACACTAAAATATCGTACATATAAACTTATTTAAGAGAAATCCTTGATTGAGTGGTGTATGTATCAACAGAACGCATTATACGGAACATCTGATAACTATCATTTTGTCTAGGTTCCAAAGTATGGCATCAAGTCCGGTCACGTGACTTTAGTACACCAAAACAACACGTGACTACTTCTATAGGGATGGACTAGTTTAAAAAACGGAAAGTTATCCTCCATCCGGAACCAACAAAATATAACAAATAAAAATATCATATACTAACCAGATAATATAAATTACTTTATGCGTTGCATAAATATTAATATTGTTAGTACATACGAATATTTACATTATGCTCAAATGTTTAACTGTGGGATTGTGATTTTTTCAAAAATAAGACTGTTGACGATTTTGTCTTCGAGTTTGCCTGTAGCCTTCAAATAGAACTAATATACCAAATTAATGAGATATGATTTACGGTTATTACCAGAAAGCGCTGCAAAACCAAAATCACAGTTTGTATCAAGTAAGACTTTCATGTAATTGATTATCAAATAAGCGTTGTTAGAAAGGGCTGCTGTACAGTGTGTATATTCTAAGACTTGAAAACAAAGGATGATTTGATAAACTTTGAAATAGTAGCCACAACTTCATAAAGAAATGAGCGATTGCTAAATGTAATTATCTCAACATCGAATGTTGTACTATGATTGCAATCGCACACGTCATTTACAACCAAACATTGCATGTCATGGTCAACGGGCATCAGCCCCATACTTAAGATTCTGGAAAAATATATATACAATGGACAAACGGGTGCTAGATATCTGTATAATCTGTGGAAGTTGACGAAATGATGTACATTTCCAGTGGACATCATTGCAAAGCATTTGCTATAAAAGTAAATAATACTAAATAGGAAAAATAATATGGAATACAAATATAAAATTTGACAGACACGGATATAGAATTTTGGGTCATACAGTATACTCGGCAAAAGACCTTTTGTTTTTAAATGCTACACTCTCGGTTGGAATTATCATTGTTTCTAAAGGGTAGACTAAAAACGTACAACATGCCTTCATATCACCCCTCTCTGAGCTAAAGAAAGCAGAATAATATAAATTTGCAAATAGTTGTCGACAATTCTGGATCTACATCAAGGACATTATATTAGCTTTTATGATACGACAGACCTGACACATAGAAAAACATAACAAATATTACCTATATCTGTCTTTAACTCGTGTCTTTTGGCTTGTTGTAAGATGTTGGCCATCTGAATAGGGTCTGTAGTGTCTTTCTTTTTCATCGATAGACGCCTAGTCTGTACAATAACTAAGATGACTAGTACTAGAATGAGCACTCCACATCCAGCCCCTATCCCAACTACAGCAGTTGTGTAGCTCTCCGTGTCTGTAAGACCTAAAATAAGGTTAGTTAAGTCTGCATTAATTTAACAGTGTTTGAAGTCAATGCTATATGTCTAATTCGAACACACAATTTAGTCAAACATCTAAAATGTATTTGTACCTTGATATACTTTTTTGCAATTAAATGAATGCAATTGTTATACATGAATTAATGCTCAAAATAATTGCAATAGTCAGTAAACTTCCAAGCTTTC